TGTGATCCGCCGCATAGAGCCAACTATAAAAGATTTTTTTTTTATCAGATTACCACACTGAAAATGTAATTATTATTAATTAAATATACAGGGTGAGTCTTAAATAAGTGCAAATATTTTCAGGGCTGGTAGATCTCGAGAAAAGAAATATAATAAGATTATAAATAAGATATTAAGTTTTTTTAACTAAGAATTAAAAAAACTTCCAAGTTTAAAAAAAAATCGCGAAAAAAAAAAACTCATAAACGTGTTTCTGAGGTCGAAATATACTACCCCTAAAAGTATTTGCACTTATTTAAGATTCGCCCTGTATAAATGTAATTAAGTCTATACCAAACAATAAAAAAGGCGTCACAATGGCTTTTAAAACGACAATAATTGTTGATAATTTCATTTAAAAATTGACATACCAACTTGTCAAAAATTAATATTTAAATTGAAAAAAGGAAAGTTTTCAGCCATGCCCAATCATTCGCAAACAAATCTATTCTGTAACAAATATTATTTCAAAATATATTTTTCTAAATAAAATATTATTTTTAAGAAAAAAAAAATTCGAGTTCGGCATTGTAACGTCTTTTTGTTCGATCATAGAGTATACATTGTGCAAATGTCCAAAAAAGTCATAAAAAATATTTTTTTGTGATGTTTCCAAATCTTGAAAACTGAGTAAAAACATAAAATATAAAAATTGTTAGTAACAATATAGGGTCCTCCTAAAGATGTATACAAAAATCTACCATATATTTTTTGAACTAAATTAGACAATACGAGACAAATAATTAATACAGGATGTCCAAGGCTGAGCCTGCATTAGAAGTTTCTAGAGAATTTATAATTTCTACACAATATTATTTTGTACCTATACCGGCATTCCAAGCGTCTAGCCGCTACCGGTAATAGATTGATGAGTTTTGAATGTTTTGATTTCGACCTTTTTTTTGTGATGAAGGTTTCAACCTTTTTTGTGATTCTCTGTATTTTTCTAAATTTTAATATGAATTTGATTGCTTTGAATGTCATGATTTTAAAATGAATGTCAAAGTCAGGGTTCAATGGAAAGGTCTAACAGAGATGCTGAGGAAGTGTTAGCTGTCGTTGAAGAAGACAGCTTTTGTATTTCAACGTTTCCCCATATTTTGTCTTCAATAACGTTATTGCCTTCGACAATGATTGACAAAAGCCAATAAAAGAGTATGATTTTCAACATTGCACATAATGCATGGCCATTTTCGTAAATATCCCGGCTATGACTATATTATTTGGTTTAATTGGGTACTTACTAGCGATGGGAACTATCGAATGAATTAGACTATCGAATGGTTACTGAATGAATGATTTCAACTATCGAATGGTTTTATTCGAATAAAATCATTCATTTATTTGTATACTAAAGCATATGTTACAATCTCGCCGTGCGACTAAATGGTTATCGTTGAGCTACAACTATCGAATGCTTTTGATAAATGAAATTTAGTATTCGTTTGATTTTTGTGTGCGTGAGTGCATTATTAGTTCTTCCAAATTTTTATAACTTCGCCTTATAAATACTGTGCTATTTTTGCGTTTATTAAAATATTTAAAATACTAGTAGTTTTTTTTTAATTGACGATTGTGTGCGTGTGCAGGTGGTCAAAATTTTTCCGAAAATTTGTGTGATTTTCCGTAGCCCGATCTTTCAATTGTTTTATTTTATATGGTATATGGTCTATTTTTTAATGGGAAATTTTGAGAAGTAGCAATTTTTAAAAGAGATGAGATAAACTTAGAATTAATTTTAAAAATACATATTTGTATTTTAGATGTTTTAATAATATGAATTAGTTGAACTTAATAATCATATTTAAGTAATATGGTTAAGTAAATGGTTATCGAACTCAAACTATGGGATGAGAAAATTAAATTAAAAGTTTTACACTTGCCAATTTTTTTAAAAAAATAACGATGTTTGTATTTTGTTTATGCTAATTCTCTTACATGTAGTTTTTTGCGAAGAAATATTTCATTTATTTTTTAAAGTAAATGCCAGTAAATATTATTTTTAAATAGTAATATAAAGTACCTAATATAAATAATTTTGATTTCTATTTTTTTATTTATATTTTCCTTCCATTACACTGCATGCTTAGAAAATTAATAAATGCTTATATTTCATGATTTTAAAGTTTGTTGTTAATATAACAAATTAGTTCTGTAATTATTATTATTTATAAACCAACGTTGCCACACACAAAACATTTAAAGACCATATTATTTTTAAATAGGATTTAATATAAATAATTTTGACATCTAATTTGTTGTTTATATTTTGCTACTACGTAAAGAAAATGTTTATATTAAATTATTTTAAATTTTGTTGTTAATAGGTATAACAAATTATTTTACTGTTATTATTATTTTTTATTAAACCAGTCTTAGCTTAAAAACATTAAAAATCATTTTCCTACATCGAAAATAACAAGTATTATTGCAGTGTAACAACAGAATATTAATAAAAAAAATGCAAAATATATAGACATACTATCTCTAACTAACTAAAGCCAAACAATAATATTCTTTGCTAATATCAACTAATACCAATATATGGCAACAGCGCCCTTCGTAATGTATTTTCTGTGTAAATACTAGCACCTCAATAAAAAAAAATAATGTGTCCTTATCTTTATATGACTCCGCAAAAAAATCAAAGATGCCGGCTTCTTTCATAAGCATTGCCACCGACCGCTGTCGGGTTTCTCGGAAAGAAACCTACGTCGCCGGGAACAACTAAAATCCAGTTAATATTTTATTATAATCGATCCTCACGAATAAATGAATTTCATAAATGAATGAATTTTATAAATGAATGGTATTTGCTGCCGAATTACTAGAATACAATATTCCAAGGCAGATGACGCATCTATTCGATAATTTTTATTCGAATAGTTTTCAACGAATGTTTTTTACTAGCTATCGAATTATGTTTCGATATGTTTCGATAGTATTCATTCGATAGTTCCCATTACCAGTACTTACGTTATTGGTCGGGAATTATCGTAAAAGTCCTGTATACAGTACGTCTGTCCGTTCTGTAGCTATAAGGGTATCCGTAAGAGGGGAAACGACATTCTCTCGATGTATTTCGTAAAAAATTAGACGACGCGTCCCATCAATAAAAATTCTACAAATTTGCTAGTAGCCAATAAAATGAGTGGGCAGAGCGATTTGCGGTGACGTACTCATCAAGTCGACGTATAAAATACATTGCTGTTTATTTAAATGTTTTTTGTCCGCATTCCTTTCATAGACACAGATCCAGCAGACGTACTGTACATAACTGTCCGTAACATAATATAATAATTACAAACACTATCAACCATGAAACGTTATTATTCACTTACAATGTAAGTGAGTATATCCTATTAAAATAAAAAAAAACATTCATTAAAACATAATGTACATACCTGTTCTGGATTTATCCATGGAAATTCTTTAAGAGCGATATCAACGGCCAAAATGCAGTCTTGAACATCTGCAGTACCAACTTTTCCTAGCAAATAATTTACCGAATCGTCTCCGCATCCGATAGACCCTCTGTAGTTAATAAGAAGTATGGCATAACCTAATACCAAAAAAACATAGATAACAATAAATAAAGATTTCAATTTCATTAATAGAAGGAATAAATACGGTGTAGTGATGGGTATTACGATTTTTTTTAGGGAATGGAATCCTACGATTCGTTTATTTGAACGAACCACATGCACAATTTACGTTCCATAAAAACAAGAATCCTAACTGGCACTACAGGCGATAATTTGGTCAATTACTTAAGGGACCAGAAAATAAATATACAGTTCTTTCAACACTTTATGGGACTAATAATATTAAATTATCATCCACTCCATAATAGCAAGAGTGGCTGGGTCTGACACAGGCAGCCGAAGAGCCTTTGAACAGTCCTTGAGAATTCTTTTTTGTGCTTATGCAAACTCCAGCATGTAGCAGTGATGAATTTGTGTCATTTTGGTCTCTAGTGGCCTGCAGGATTGATGATTTTTTTAAATGGCACACCTGTATATTATTGCATTTTGGCTGCCAGATCACTTTACATAACCTCTAAGATATGAATAAATACCTCGATAGTTTTCAGAGACAGTTGCGTCAGTCAAAATATATAAGCAGTTTTTTCATCCTTCTTAAAATTATTAAAAATACAGAACTGTTCTGAAATCAAGATTGTTTTAGTATTTTAGATGGTCTGTATTGCTTTGTTATAAATATCGTAAATCTATACAGTATGTTCAGTTTTGCCAGCCAAACTTTCTGTAACAGGCTGTTTTTTCTTTAATGGAATACCCTGTGGCTATTATTTTTCACAGATTTGAGAATAGGCCGAACATTTTTTGTATTTAGAGTATTTCAAAAAATTTTAATCTGGTTTGGCAGATATTTGCGGTTTTATTTCATATGGCCATTTTCCACAGTAAATTTTTATCAAAGCCACCCAATGATTTTTTCTCGTATTTTACCATTGACAGCGCCATATGAAATAATACTGCGTATATCTGCGAAACCGTTAAAAATTTTGAAATACTCTAAATACAAAAAATGTTCATTTTTTAACTCTCGATCTAATAAAAAAATAATATACCGGGTGTTCCATTTAAAAAAACAAAGAGAAAATTATTTTATTTTTAGAAAGTTTGGCGTAGAATATTGAACATCCTGTATGATTTACGATTACCATATTTATAGCACAGTAAGAACAGACCATCTAAAGTAAATACCTAATATACTTTTGATTTCAGAACATTTCCTGTATTTTTAATAATTTTTTTAAGAAGGGCTAAAAAATATATATTTTTTATTTATTTTTTAATATCTTTGAAACTGTCGAAATATATTTATTCATATCTTAGGGTTATGTAAAGTGATCTGAAAGGAAGCCAAAAATGCAATAATATACAGGGTGTTCCATTTAAAAAAAATCATCCAGGTCCACTGACACTTTTTTGAGCCACCCTATAGAAGTTTACATATTTTCCTGAAGTACATCCTGGTACATATTTTAGGTTTGCACTTAAACAAAATTCTCAAGTTTTTTATTCTAGGAGCTACAGATGCTCGACGCACTATTGCCGGACCCTGTATATGTACTATTTATACGCGAAAATTAAATGTATTACAGATACTCCTGTACTAAGCGCATTATAAATAAGTTTTTTTCCTGTAAATAACTTTCTTATCGTTTGCATTTATGCCCACGATGCGTTATTTTTTACCAACATGGCAAATATAAAATCCCTCTATCAAAAAAGTTACTGATATTCTTTAAACTGAGTGCCTGAACGAATCAGATAGGTAACTCTTTTTACTTTCGTAAAATAGAAAAGGAAAATACTAAAACAAGTGACATTTCTTCCTCTTCTTGCAAAAATCAACACAAAATGTCATAATTGTTAAAAGTAAAATGTCATCAGCTTTTAACATTTCTAAATATCAGATAACAAAGAAAAATGCATGGCCGCAAGTTGCCTAACCTAATAAAATTAACACTAGAAAAGCCCACGAGAACTGTCATATTCAGTTTTTCGTTTCACAGACTATATGTATGGCTGGCTGCATTATGTGTATATGTCGTGACAATGATAATAAACTGTAGTTGTAGTTTACAGCATAGATAAATGAAACAAGTTTAGATTGGAAAGTGCCCATAAGGACAATGTAAACACTAT